AAAATATTTGTTCCACACAGAAGTTGCTATGACCCATAGTAATTAGAGAACCATATTATTTAAACAATATTAGTAAAATGTTTAAAAACACCTTAACAATGAACAAGTAACATTCCTGTCATGATTACCAGCCAGCCAGTAACACAGACACTTTTGTCCTATCCCTGTGATAATAAATGTGAAGGACTTCTGCATAGTGGAACGACTGCTATAAGTTACGCGTTACTCAAAAAATTATATTCTCCTTGGCGAAAACTATAAACGCGTTTTTTTTCAGAACTGTATCTTAAAAATTTATCTAAGTGTTGTAATTTCGGTTGACGTCCAAACTTTTACTCGTTGGTAGATTTTTCTATCATTTCAAAATAATAAAAGTATGAAATAAGTACAACGAAACAGATTTTTAATATTTTCCAACGTTCTTATACATTATATTATTACATGCGCTAAACACAACTGCCACTTGTGAAAAATTCTTTTACTAGGCAACTTTCACACATTCGGTGTTCCCGTATGGCTGCTATGCTTTTCGTTAAGAAAACGTGGCTATGCAATTAAGGACTCGAAACACGATTACAATAAACTTTTAGTGTGCAAAATGTTACAGTATCTAAACATTCAATTTCAACATTTCTCCAGGTAAACAGGTTCATCGACCACAACTTTAGAAGGTTCATTCTTAGCTACACGTCATCATAAACAAGGGAGTGTTGTCATTAAAAAAAGTCACGTTGACGTTCGCAAAATCTTGACATGGAGTTAGATATATACGGTATGATCATACAGTAACTCTTTTGAAACCATGAAACATTCGTATTCAACATTTTCTTCCATTTCCGTATGTAAATCTGAACGATCATTTTGTATGTTACAGATGAAGAAAATATCAAAGCATTAGCAGAGAAATTAGATTACTTGCCTATCGCTTTGCAACAAGCTGCGATCTGTATAAGGGAGCTGAAATTTCAAACGATTTCTCCGTACGAGCATTATTTGCAGAAGTACAGACAGATAGAGAGAAAATTTGTAGTATTCGATGATAGAGTTTTAAGAACGATATTTACAGTATACGACATTACTCTGGATGTAATGAAGAAAGAAGAAGGTGCCGAAGCTGCTAAAGAAATATTAAATGTTTTATCCTACTTCGGTTCCGAGCCAATAAGCACAGAAATATTAGAAGGAATGATGTATGGGGAACAATTGATGAAGTCAGCTACTGATGTGTTGGAAAAGTACTCGCTTATTAAACTGGGAGTATCGACGTTAAGCGTAGATGAATTATTACAGAAACTGATAAGATACAATTTGACAAAACAAAAGAACGAGGAAAAAGTAGTTTTAAAATCTGCTCTGAAACTATTTTGCAATCCGGAAATCATTTCGAAAAATCTAGTTCACGCGTTGTCCGTTTGGGATCATTCACAGAAATATATAACGTTGATAATATACATTTTCCCCGTTTCAATGTATATTGTACATGATCTTGTCAAATGTGCTAGATACGACAAAGCATACTTATTTATTGGGAAGCTTCAGTCATTATTAACCAATTTATCAGGAGATGAGGCGAAATGTTACGAGCTGGTGACGAAGTACCATGTTGGGAAAATATATTTATGTCAAAAGAAGTACGAAGAAGCACTTTCTATTTTTGACGAAGTTTTAAACAATCCTAAATCCGGACATCCATTATGTTTGGAGGTAAAACTAAGCAAGGGACACGCGTTGCATTGGTTAGAACGATGTGACGAAGCTATAAAATTTTACCAAGAGGTATATGATGTTAGGAAAGTTGAAGATGGAGAGAATAATGATAAGACCCTGTTTATTAAACAGTGTATGGAGGCTTGTTGAAGATAAGATGAATCTGACAAATAATAAACTAACTGGCCTTTTGGATCCAGCACTGCTATTAAAAAATTCCCCTGATCATAGAATCCAGTTATTTATAATCCAGTAACGAGAAATCAATGACTACAAATTAATTGTATAATAAGTTAGCTATGTAATATGTAGCTACGTAATTGTAATATAAACAACAATAATATGTAAATATATATATATTATGAATAAACGTATATGATGAAAATAAATTAATTTATTAAGGCCAACTTTGCCTCCTAACTTCGCGTTTGCCGCTGCATCGTAGCATTATTTTCTCTCTCTTCCATCTCTTTCTCCTGCTCCTCATTTCACTCTTTATTGACGAACGGAAAAACATTTTCTCTGGGAAACCGTTCTTTTTACTCTACATTTATTTTGATCGGATCTACGTGTCAAATAAGATGCAAAAAAATTCGAAATTAGGAATTCATTCGTTGAAAAATTATTAAGCGAAGGCGAGGTACCAAACGATTTGGATGTATTTTGTAATGTTTAGCATGAAATTATCACTATGTCTGAAATATTTTGGAAACTTCTATTTCTTTTCACATTAGATTGACAAAGTGAACGGATGGTAAAAATAGATGAGTGCATATTTACTTATTTTTTGTCCCATAATCTGATTGTAATTGGACTAAATCGGTTGAATTAAATTCCATGCGAGTGCTATAATTCTGTTCTTCCAATTAATACCTGAATTCAGTACTATGAACCGTTCACATTTGCCGTAACGTACCGTACTGAAAGAAAAATCTTACGTACCTCCCGCCAAATTACGATGCTGATAGGGGAAAAGAACGTAGCTTACGGTATTTCAAAGTTACCTACGAATTGACTTGAACTTTACGGGATTGATAATAAAAAAATGGGTCTAACAGGTACTCTGTGGTTGAAATAAATCGAACCAAATTTCGCTGAGGGTACTCATTATTTATTAACTGCCGAACGCGTGTCTGTACGCCTGTACGTTAACGAGTCACCAGATTAACTGCCTCGATACTTCGTCTCGCTGGGCCAGCATGAAAGTAATATTGAAGTAACAGACTTCCTTATCTCTTCCGAGGAGAATCTAATTTCTAAGGAGAGCGCGCGTAGCCGCTTTGTTCGAGGGCTATGTCGCCCGTTGTTACGAGCGACATACTTTCGCACTCACCTGGGGAAGAAGTCGCTGATACCTTCTCGCGCCCCTGTACTTTTACATGATTTTCCCTATACCCAGGCTCGAATTTATAGTCGCTTCTCGCACTTGACACTCAGCACTTAAGTGCGTCCCACCAATGTACACATTGTTATGTTTAAAAAGAAGTGAGAGTAGCGGAATATCTACGCAATAGTCTTTCTCCTTTTCCGCTTCTTTCACTTCTTTTTCAAACATGAAGTATAAAACTTTTACAATCTGAACATAACATAAATGTGTACATTGAACGCGGAACGGTTGGACGCACTCGAGTGCTGAGTGCCAAGTGCGAGAATCGACTATAAATTCGAGCCCCAGGGTTCTCATAATTTTTTCCTCGGCCGGAAAGTGGGGACGACGCGACCATGGTGGGGACTGGTACTTGATGGGAGTATGCTAGGCATGGTCAGCGAAGACGCATGAGGAGAATAGTAGTGGGGATCGAAATACGGGCGAAAAAGAGGGGAAGCGAGCTGTGCAGGAAAAATTATGAGAACCCTGCCTATACCTTCAACTTTCTACTACGCCACTGTATCTTACGACGGGGACATCTTTCGAGACCAAAATTTCGCTAGTTTCTCTTACATCACGGTACGTTATGGTAAATGTGAACACTCCAATAGCAGAGATGAAATTTATTATTTTCGACTGTGGGATGTTGAATACTAAATATTTTAAAAGATGGTGGAACATGGAACAGGAAAGCTTCTTGTAGAGAGATCAATCTTGATTGGATTAAATCGGAACGCCGACTATATATTTGTTTCGGATTGTTTTTCACGAAAGAAAGTGGAAACATTTGTCTCCGGCGAGGAAAACTAACTCTTTACAAAATTACTTGGTTGTTAAAAAAAAAATGATCGTTGATATTCTACAAAATTGATAGCCGCGAAATAACTAATCGCGTCAGATTTACTATACGTATTATCAGAAAATTGAATACGACTTTGATAAACTCGCTGAAAGTTAAAATTATTACTAGGGCCAGAGTTGTCGTGAAGTCGAGGTTTTCGTGATAATTTTTACCTCTACTCCTTCGCCACCCCAGTAGATTCTATGGCCTAGCCGCTGGAGGAAAAGAACAGAGAACTAGGAGTGTGGGAAAGATCACCACGGAAAAACATGTAACGGTAAGTCTGACTGGGACTGCGAACGGCAATTAATTAAGTATGCAACATTTCTTAGAGCAAACTTTAATGCTAAGTTGATAGTTTATACAAATGATATTTTTTGACATTCTTTGTTATCCTTTGTCATTGCATGCTGATTTGATGTAACAAAAGTACAGCGTATAAAGTATAAGTAAAGGGGTGTAATCAAGGTCGAGCATACTGTAAATGTAATTTTCAATTGTAATTACAAAAACTACAAAAACACATCGACGCTAGAAGCATACATTTCTTGAAACTTAAACATACCCTTGCAAATTAAAAGAATTATATACCCATTTTTGATTAGCCGATAAAGTAGGTAGGATGGGTAACAAAAATTAACTCAATATTTTAAAGCGAAGAGAGCTTAACATATCAAATATTCAATAAAAAAAAGAGCTAGAAGATAGGAAACGCATTCTAACAAGCTGCCTACTATACAAACCAAGTAAGCCTAAATTATTGTAACGAAAAAAATGGTTTGGATGTATCTTGAAATATTTGTTTTTTTGCCACCTGTTGACAATTGAAATGTATTCCCTGATTATTGGACATGATAAGTATTTGAAAATTATGTACATCGATTTTTGCACCAAGCATTACATGATACATTATATCAATAATCATATGAAATATTGTATAAATTAATATATCAATTTATGCATCATCCATCATAAAAAACATTACATTCATTATTGTATGAAATATGCTATTAATCATTAATTGAAATATATCAATTACTATATCAATTTTTGCATCAAACATCGTATGAAACATTGTACAATGTTAATTATTACATGAAGTTCTGTATCAATCTCTCATTATGTTAAATATTATATCAATTCTCATGGAAATTTCGTTATTTAGACATTTAAATAGTTTTAGCCTTTCTACTTTATATGTTAAATTTTGTGAATTGTAAAGCAATAAGGGACTGTTCGTACAAAATCCTGACTTAAATGCTGTT